TGATGTCATTCTATGCTGGTATGCTAACTTCTGATTACAAATTTCACAAATTGTGTAGTTTTTTTCTTTTTTTTTTTGAAGTATTTCTATACAAAAGATCTATGAAACATACTATTAATACAATATATTAAACAATATATTAAACAATTATAATATTTTAATTACCTGGTATGTGTAGAATTACTGCTATTTAACTTTTGTACTTGCGATGATTCACTAACTTCAGATTCATCTAATTGTAACTCTAGTTCGTACACTTTCTCATACATTGGTTCATGCTCTTCCTCATACATTGGTTCATGCTCTTCCTTATACATTGGTTCATACTCTTCCTCATATATTAGTTCATACTCTTCTCCATGCATAGATTCATAATCTTTCTCATAAGAAGATATAGACGGAGTTGGCATTACAATGTTCTTGTTTCAAAAAAAAAAAAATCATAAGACAAAAAAAAAAAAGAATCGTATAAGACTTATTTAAAAAGATCATATAAGACTTATTTAATAAGATTGTATGAAATTTATTTAAAAAATAATATGAATCTTGTTCTAGTATTGGAGCAAGTAATGATTTTTTTTTTATTATCGTTTGATCAGCATACTTATATATATTATTACTGACCAATAAGCGTACAGTATAGTATCAGGGATTCAATTTGGACCCTATATGGATCTGAATTTAATAGATTTTATAAATCACAGATCTGGATCCGATCTGATAGATCAGATCTGATTCAGATTCAGATCTTCGGATCAGATCTGCAGAACACTAATAAGAGTTGCTAGCAGTGAAATAAAATACTAGTGAACTAAACTGTCAGAAATGATTATGTCAGAAAAAAAAATTTTTGGAATTGTAGGGCCAGAGAAATATTTTGGAAATATGGGCTTCAGAAATAAGCAACAATGGTTCCAATTCCAGATATATTCACCCATTCCAGTACAAGTCGCCTTTTATTAAACTACAAAAAAAGAAAGAAAGTATTAATAACAGCACTAAAAAATGAAAAAAAAACAGAAAGTTATGACTGGTACTTATCTTAGTACCAGTTCTGAGTTTAGGATCTCAATTCTAGTTTCTATTACTCTTTCTGGCAAAGCACAAAACTTGCAAAAGAGAAAAAAAGCATTAGTAACAGACTAAAAAATGAAAAAACAAAGAAAAAATAAACTGGTACTTATCTTGGTACTAGTTTCAGAATTCAAGATCTCAATTCCAGTCTCTATTAACCCTTCTCAGCGAAGCACAAGACCTACAAAAGAGAAAGAAAGCATTAGTAACAGCATTAAAAAATGAAAAAACAAAGAAAAAATAAACTGATACTTATCTTGGTATCAGTTCCAGAATCAAGATCTTAATTCTGGTCTCCATTAACCCTTTCTGGTGAAGTACAAGACCTACAAAAGAGAAAAAAAATATTAGCAACAGCACTAAAAAATGAAAAAACAAAGAAAATTATAACCGGTACTTATCTTGGTACCAGTTCTGGGGTCAAGATCTCAATCCCAGTCTTCATTAACCCTTTCTGGTGAAGCACAAGACTTACAAAAGAGAAAGAAAGCATTAGTAACAGTATTAAAAAATGAAAAAAAACAAAGAAAAATAAACTAGTACTTATCTTGATATCAGTTCTGGGATCAAGATCTTAATCCCAGTCTCTATTAACCCTTCCTGGCGAAGCACAAGACCTACAAAAAAGAAAAAAAGCATTAGTAACAGCACTAAAAAATAAAAAAAAAACAAAAAAATTTCTGGTACTTATTTTAGTACCAGTTCCGGGGTTCAAAATCTTAATCTCAGTCTCTATTAACCCTTCCCAGCGAAGCACAAGACCTACAAAAGAAAGAAAGCATTAGTAACAGCACTAAGAAATAAAAAAACAAAGAAAATTATGACTGGTAATTATCTTAGTATCAGTTTCGGGGTCAAGATCTCAATCCCGGTCTTCATTAACTCTTTTCGATGAAGCACAAGACCTATAAAAGAGAAAAAAACTATTAGTAATAGTACTAAAAAATGAAAAAAACAAAGAAAATTATGACTAGTACTTATTTTAATACCAGTTCCAAGGTCAAGATCTCAATCCTGGTCTTCATTAACTCTTTCCAGCAAAGATCTACAAAAGAGAAAGAAAGTATTAGTAACAGCATTAAAAAATGAAAAAACAAAGAAAAAATAAACTAGTACTTATCTTGATACTAGTTCCGGGGTCAAGATCTCAATCCTGATTTCTATTAACCCTTCCCGGTAAAGCATAAGATCTACAAAAGAGAAAGAAACTATTAGTAATAGTACTAAAAAACGAAAAAAACAAAGAAAATTATGATTGGTACTTATTTTAGTACTAGTTCCAGGGTCAAGATCTTAATTCTGGTCTCTATTAACTCTTCCTGGTGAAATACAAGATCTACAAAAGAGAAAGAATGCATTAGTAACAGCACTAAAAAATAAAAAAAACAAAGAAAATTCTGGTACTTATCTTAGTACCAGTTCTGGAGTTCAAGATCTCAATCCCGGTCTCTATTAACCCTTCCCAGCGAAGCACAAGACCTACAAAAGAGAGAGAAAATATTAGTAACGATATAAAAATGACAAAACAAAGAAAAAATAAACTGACACTTATCTTGGTACTAGCTCCAGGGTTCAAGATCTCAATCCTGGTCTCTATTAACCCTTTCTGGTGAAGCAACAGTCTATAAAAGAAAAAAAACATTAGTAATGATACAAAAAATAGCAAAACAAAAAAAAAAGAAACTATTACTTATCTTAGAACTAGTTCCGGGTTCAAAAAATCTCAATCCTGGTTAGTAAAAAGCAATAAATAAAAAAAAATCCAAATCAAAACAAAAAAAAAAAATCTAAAAAGATCGAAGATTCAAAAAAGTTTAAAAAAAATTAATAAGATCGAAAAAATAAACATGCGTATAGTAGATTATCAGTACTGCAGTAGATCGTAAACTTTTAGTTATTTGAAATAAATATTTTAAAATTATATATATCTAAAGATCAAAAATAATAATGTATTTTAAAAAGTGCGAAAATCTTCGAATTAGCACTATAAAATTTGTGACAGTTGATTTTTTACAAAATGTATCAAATAGCTAACTATATACGTAGAAAATTTTGAAAAAATTTGTAGCATGCAAAAATAATAAAAATTTTTGAAAAAATTTTGAAATATTTCGAAATATTTTTCAAAATTTTTTGAAATTATAATATTTCAAGGATATTTTTAACTTGTGCCAGTGGTTAAGAATAACCACTATGCAATATCTCGAAAACTGTACTATGAAACAGGG